CTGCGCTGGAGGGAAACCAGCATTTCTGTTGGTCCCTCCCTCCCCCTTTTCCAGATACAATCTCATCCTTGTATGGGACTGTAGTTCCAGATTAAGATTTCTATCCAGGCAGTGCTTCATGCTTTACTATTTCATATGCTTATACTCATCCAGATGGACAGAATGGGCGTGATATTGCCATCAGACAGATGAGGAGGCCGCTTGAGGTTTCACCTTTACTTACAGTCACCCAACTAGTTGAGGCACCAGGGTGGCTCAGTCAGTTAAGCATCTGATTCTTGATTTTGGTTCAGGTTATGATTTCAGGGTGATGAGATCGAGCCCCGCTTTGGGCTCCGCACTGGGCATGGAGCCTCTGCTTGAGATTCTCTCTCTCCTTCTCCCCCCTGCACTCTCAATTGCTCTAAAAAAAACCCAAAACAAACAAAAAAATAAAGTCACCCAACTAGTAAATGGTATCACCAAAATCCCTCCCATTGTTCTCCCTGACACCACTCTGGCACTTCCTAAATAAAAACTCAACTCAGTTCCACAAAAACGCACTCAGTTGTGTATTTGAAAATTAACCCTCAACTGAAACCATGAAAATGCTTCTAGCCACAAGGGGAGAAAAGCAATACCAGCCAGTCAAAAGGAAAGAGAGGAGTGAAATATATGTTGGCTGTCCATGCTTAACATTTGTTTGTAAAACTAACGCCAAAGTTTTGGTAACATCTGCATCTTTTGTCATAACCACAAGACCGAAAACTATAACGCTATGATAACATGTTGGGTTTGCAATTTGAAGAGATTCACATGTCTCTAAGGAGTTACAAAACCATACACAGATCCATGAGCACAGGCAAATGAGAACAACGTTGGCTGCGAATGGATCCTTCTGGAAGGGGAGCTCCAGAGCTTGTCTGGGCTGGAGAGCATAACTTCTCAGCCATCCTAAAGATTTCTCAAGAGATGCTCAAACATTAGGGTCCCTAGAATGCCCTGGGAAGCTTGCAAAGACACAGGTCCCCAGGTTCTGATCCTTATAGGTCTGACAAGGAGCCCTATAATCTGCCTTTTTTCACGAGCACCCTCGGTAAACCTGATACCAGCAGGGCTCAGACCACTGTCTGAGAACACTGATCTGCTATTGCTCATGGATAGCCCACTCCAAGGAGAGCAACAGATCCCATATTCCAGTGGTGGCTCTTACTAATGACCCCAAACAAGCGGGTCAAAATCTGAAGGTAACACCTTTGGTCCCAACTTTTAGCCCTTTTGACTGGGGAGTAAACAATTTAAAAACAAATGAGAAATAACCACCAGTTACTTATGAAATTTCAACATTTAAACGTCCCATCCCATATTTTCCGCCATGATTCAATTCCCTCTCTTCACCCATCCAGACACCTCTCAACACCCAGTGCTGGAATTGCCCGATCTGTCAATAAGGTAAGAGTTTTCTAAACTACTATCCATATGACTCAATTTGTCAGTAAAAACTGCCACCAGCGCTGTGCTTGCAGAAAAATGTCCATAAATGCATTATTGCAACTGGCAGATCGATGTCTATAATAAAAACAAATAGATTTAACAAGTGCCTGCTTTTACGAGTGGTACCTTTGGCGGACTGTGCGTTCAGTTTCACCCCCAGACTTCTGGGAATGGGTAGTAGGGCTCGGGCTGGATACTCTGCTGACTTCACAAGTGCTACCGGTAGGAAATTATTCTAACAAGACAATTTTTGAAATAGTCGAGTGAACATACGAGGCATTTATAACTCACAATCCCTTTCATGGTTACACAGCTACACGATGACAACAAATTCAGCAATGAATGTTGGAAGGAAATGTTTCTGTAGAACTTTTAACTGGTTTTACCACCGCTGCATCACAAGCCAGAAGTTTACTCCGGGGGGGGGGTGGCGGACAGGAGGCCTGCCTCCCTGGAGAATCCCCCACTCCTCAAAGCCCCCAATCTAATTGAAAACAACTTGTATAAAAAACAAGTTTCAGCATTTAACACGTAGCCAATGGTGTCACTGCTGTGTCCGTGGCCCCTGGGGCTGCCTATTTATTTAGTGATTTTGCTAAAGCAGACATCAGGACCGAGCGGCTCCACACTGGCTTCACTGCCCGGGATTCTGAGCACTCTGGCTAGACACTGTGACCCATTTACATGTAGGCCCCATCTGCCAAAACCACTCAGATTCCTTCAAAGGTTACAAAAGGTCACAAAATGATTTATTCCTCTTCTTGGACAATTCATTTTAATAGCTATATACAGGAATAAGTCATTCACTATATTCCATATATTCACTATATGGTTTCCCCAAAACCTTGCACCCCACCCCCATCTAAGCTCTTTTTTATGAATTTTTTTTTTTTTTTTTTACATCAAAAGAAAACAACTCTTGCCACTGACCAGCAAATATGCACTAGTTACCCAAATGCCACAAGAACACACATCTGGCAGTATTTTGTCTCCAACGCTGGGTCTCAAACTTTCATCTACCTTTGCCCAAGACAGGCCTCCAGAGCTAACAGAAGGGGAAAATGCATCCTGGGAACCAAGGGAAAACTGGCTCTCCCGCACAGCTCAAATCCCCACTCCCATGCAGATAACCACACGTACCTTCACTTTAAACCAAGAATGGGGTGCTGTTGCATTTGTTTCCTCATCTGCATATATGAGAAGGAGGACACAGAATCCACTCTCACCCAGTGGTAATGTTATTGTTTACGTGTTCTTGATTTTTACAGTTTCAGGTTTTGTGTAAGTAACATTCTGAGATAAGACCCAAGCTCTTTCAGAAAGCTCCTGCATCAGAAGCTACCCATCCCAGGAAACAGAAAACCCATCAGGGAGGTCTAGGACAGTAGCCAAATGAGCTCAAGGCCTTTCAGAGACTGAGACCACAACCTACATGTCTGCAGTGACCAGAGACACGATAGGAAGTCAAAACCCTCAGGGAAAGTTGATCTACAAGAGCAATTTTATAGTTAAGTAGTTAGGTAAGGTCAGAGTGAAGTATAAAAACAAACCTAACTGTAAGGTTAACAGATGACCACAGGAAAAGAGAATTCAGAAGATACTGTTTTGCTTCCACGTTTTTTCTATTAAGGAGACTATACTATAAATTGAAAAGAGCCTTGAGGGGAGTTGGAATAGAACAGCATTGGTGGTTTGAATCCCTGGCTTCTAAATGTCCTCTGCAAAATAAGAAAAATAAAGACAATTGAGTAAGTTTACCTAACTGAACAGCACTGAGAAGCACATTGTTGGGTTCCTGAGAAAGGAAGAGCAGAGGAGCAGAGAAAACTCTTCAGGAATGCCAGGGAGGCCCCCTCCTTCCCCGCACGGATAGACCAGGCCCGCACCCATACCCCAGCAAAGGAAACTGTGGGGACAGAAGACCCAAATGGAGGGCCCAGGTGAGACTCCACTGATATCCAAGCAAGACCAAACCAGAGAGGAAAAGAAAGATCTGAGAATCTCTGCTAAACAAGAGTTCATGTCCACACCTAGCACATTCTTTCTTTAAACTTCCCTCTCCAACAGTGAGGTTTTTTAAAGCAGGGTCTAGTCTTGCTAAAATCTAGGTCTTACAATACAGATTTTTTTTTTTAAGAAATAATTTATTTGAGAACAATACAGATTTGTTTTAATGAAAAGAATATTCACGTAGAAAAGGTGCCTTACTATACAGCTCTGTACTTGAGGCCTGGTTCATCCTGCCCCCATAACTGTACCAGACTCTACCATTCAAATTCTAACTCAAGACAAGAACCCAGGAGGAAATGGGACACTTGCCAGAGCAAGGCCAACTCTCCTTTGCTACCTGCAGACTCTGGACCTCCGCAAGTGTGGACTCAGTGTGTGTCAGTTAACACAATCTGCACTCCCTGCTGGGGTTGGGGGGGGCGGCCAGGGGTAGGGGGAGCTCTGACATTATTTCCTTAAAGCTGTGTTACCCCCAGCATGCTTTCATTTTTGTCCTTTGCATCTCTGTGTTGTATCCATTGAAGGACTGGAAAACAACAAAGACATTTTCCGAGATGGACAGGAGGGCCTGCCCTGGACACTCTCCAGGTGCCTATTTAAATAGCCAGTCTAATTCTTGGCTCCTTATGTGCAACAGCTTCATGTTCTGCCACAAACAGCCGGGGTGACCCCTGTGTGGACAAAGCAGCCTCCCTCTGCCTGATGACTGTCCACACAATCAAGCCAACACTGTGCTCGCATCTACAAAATGTGCCTCCAGCACAGAAAGCCAAGTGCTAAGCAGAGGCCTTGACAAGCCAAGACCATTCCAAGATCTCAGGAAATGATGAGGCCAGGCAGGGAGTGAGGGATATATGGTTTTGAACACTGCCCTACTGTATCATCACCGACTTGGGAATTACGGCGCCCAGTGTGAACGGCTCTCAAACTCCACTTGTTTACTCTAAGTGTTTACAGAGGCAATTAGGGGGAAACGAATACAAACACCATGATAATGAGGGCCCCAGAACGCGGTCTCCTCTGGCGCTGTCTTAAACACGGGAAAGAAGGTGTGGAATTCTGTACAAGTAGCACGCTAAAGGCTTGCTGCAAGCAAGACCGGGGTAGGGCGTCTGGAAACTTCCTGGGAACAGAAGGCGGAGGCCGACCCCGCGCTGGTCAGCAGTGCAGGGCAGGAGCCTGCGCAGGGAGAGCGTCCAAAGTGTTGGCCAACTAGAGGTGCGGAGGGGCGGACAGCAGCCCACAGCGGACCGCTGTACCGCAGCGCAACTTGGTCCAGGAGCCCCAGATCTGGGGTAGGCGGGCCGCGCCTGGGCGCACCTGGGCGCACCTGGGCATACCTGGGCACACCTGGGCGCACCTGGGCACACGTGGGGCCTGGGCCAAGTGGGTGGGATGAGGGCAGGCCCCACACCCATGGCGAAGGGAAGGTGCCCATAGAACCACAAGCTCCAGACGACTGCTCATCCTAGGAAAGGCCCCGACTCTGGCGGGAGGGCAGCAACCCAGACACTCACCGCGGTGCCCAGGCCGCCGACCACGAGGAGCTGAGAGCGGAGCGATGCCAAGTGCTACAGGAGCGCGCGCGCCGCCCAGGCACATCCGGGGCGCGGGGGCGGGGCCGGGACGGCCCGGGGGCGGGGCCGGGACGCTCGGGGGGGCGGGGCCACGGTGGGGCGGGGCCTGGACGTGACGGAAGCGCGACCGGGACGCGGGATCCGAAGCGCGCGGAGGCGGGGCCCAGAGGGGGCGGGGCCAGGAAGTGCGGGAAGCGGGGCCGAGGGGCGGGGCGGGGCGGGGGCGGGGCCTAAAGAGGCGGGGTGGAGCTGGACCCGCGAGTGCACGCCCGGTTCAGAGCATGCCCAGTGCGGCGGCGCCCGGGCTGACCCGGCTCCGCGCAGCCTCGCTGGCCGCCCGGCGCCTCCCCGCTGCGGTCTTCCCGCCCGCGAAAGGGTCTCTCCTGCTTGGAGGCCTGGGCCCCGCGCTTCTTCTTCCACCTCTCGCACTCTGTGCCTCAGTTTAGCAAATGTCAGCCCCGCGCCCCTTGGTGCGCTCGGTACGCCGCTAGCGGGGAGCATTGGGGCGGTGCAGCGCCTGGTGCTCCCACTAATCGTGTTGCTGATTCTGCCTAGCGGGGAGGTATCTGTAACGCGGGCTGCCTGCCTGGGCCTCCAAGAGGGCAGGGACCGACAGGACTCCGGGCACCATCCGGGTCGATGCGTGAGCAGAGGGGCCTGGGGTCAGTCTCCAGTGCCTGTGGTCGGAAGTGGCCAGAGGTGGCCGTGTTGGGCTCTTCAGGTCCTGCAGGTCACCGGGACCTAGACACACCCAGAATCCTGGGCTCTCTTAGCCAGGCCAGTGTCAGATGCTATTCAGTGAGCACACGGGTGCCAGGCACTGCTTGTTGCTGTGTGGACATTATATGGTTGGAATTGTGCTCCCCCAGGAAGATGTGTTAGAGTCCCAACCCCCAGGACTCAGAAAGTGACCTTATTTGGAGACAGGATCTTTACAGAGGTAACAAGTTACAGTGAATCAATAGGGTGGGCCCCTAATCCCAGTATGACTGGTGTCCTTGTAAGCAGAAGGCCAGGTGAAGACACAGACTCAGGGAGAATTCTGTGTGAAGATGGAGGGTGCCGAGTGATGCATCCTAGCCAAAGAACACGTGGGACAAGAGAGGCATGGGCAGCACCCATCCCTCGAACCTTCAGTGGGAGCACGGCCCTCTCCACTCCTGGGCTCCAGAGCTGTGAGACAGTATGTGTGTATTCTCTCTGGACACCCATTTTGTGGTACCTTTTATGGCAGCCCCAGGAAACACTATAGACACATGGTATCCAGCTTGATGGGCATAAGGACCTCTGGGAGTATCCCCCAAAGCTTAAGGGACGTCACACACCCATTGGTCCCATCTCAGGACTGCGTGTTCTAAACCGTCTATGGGGCTCCTAGGTTCTCTTAATGGGAAAGAAATCTTCACACACCCCTCCACCCCATGTGTACAACTCCTCTATTGGGATATTTGTGACTTGCATGGCTCAACGTATTAACATTGTTAGTAAAAACTTGTTCAAAGAACCAAAACAAGGTTGCTTTGTGGAAGGTAGGCCCTGGGTACACACTGGTGATCAAATCAAGGTACTTTTTCTCCAGTGAGACTGGACACAGCCACAGAATCCTTCTCAATGTTGCTCTAGGCAGCCATAAGCACTTAAGCTAAGAAGGCAAGAGAAATAAAACATCTTTGCCACTTGTTCTGGGCTTTTCTATTGGCTGTCTGTGAAACTTCAGGAAACTTACTCAAATTCTCTAATCCTCAATGTTCTCATCTGTAAAGGATTTTTGCAATGATCTACTCTGTGTAGGGCATGCGGGTAGGAGTAAGAAACATCAATGACAATAAGCCTGTCTTCTTATACTCTATTATAGTCTATATACTCGGAACTGGGATCCCAACAGAACTGAAAAGGGAAAATAACACCAAAATTGAATCAGGATGACTTCTGGTATCTTAGCAAGCATGGTGTGATGTAATTTTATAAAAATAAATAAATCCTACTTTGCTTTTTATCTGAATAATAGTTTAATAGGATGCCCTAAGTTATTAGTAAAAAGAGTCTAGGTGGTAGTAGTGTCTCTGATTCCCATCCCGGGAAAGAAAGTTCATCACGGTGATCCTACGGCCCTTTAGGGAGACTGTGTGGCCTTGGGGAGAGGTAGGTGAGAGAGACAGAGGAGAGCACAGCATCCAGGGGAGATGCAAGCCCCTGGGTCTGCTGGCAGGACTCAGTTGCCCTTGCCGGCGGGGTTGGGAGATGCTGCAACAGCCTTCACAAGGCGATTCAAGGTCAAGAGCCAAATAGAGGTCTTAGAGCCAAGGGGGACTGGGAGAAGGCCACCACTCTGCCAAGGACTGGCCCTGCCAGAGACTAAGATTCTAGAGTGTGACATCTCAGACTCTCCAGTGAACAGAACTAAAATCCACACTCCCTGCACTTGCTGGTAAATTCTTCTCCTCTTGATGATAATTTTCAAAAACTCAAAGCATTTTCTCAAAAGCTCCCCTATGCCTCATTCCTTTGTCCCATTATACCAGCATCCTCACCTATGAGCACTTTCTACGGCTAAATCAACACAAGGATAGCCCCAAATCTGGGAGATGACTTGGCGTGAGGAACGCAAGGTCAGGCGATTCGAGATGTGGCCCTGCCAGCCTCTCATGGCATAATCCACCTGACTAATCCGCTTGTAGGATGACAGCACTGGACGTGGTGGACAAAGCTCCTTTGGGGTTTCCCCTTCTGCGCATTCATAAATCATATCCCCTTCTTCTGCAGATTCCCATGAATGACTTTTTTGCAAAAGAGGTGGAAAAACACAGGAGTGTATGCTCTGTGTCAGTCTGACTACTTCAAGGGGCCTCCCTGAATGTCCTTTAAGACCAGCCAGCTTTCTTGTGGGCACTGGGAACAATGTTAATTTGCATCGTTTCTTTAAACATCCAAATGGGTAACTTTCAGGTTAAACAAATGAACATGACATGCGATTGCTTCCAATGATTTGCAACCCAAGAAATTTGTTTAATAAGCCTTTCTTTCCGAGCTACTTTTGTGACATTAGAGACCATTTACAACAAAGCTGTCTTCAGTAGTCAAACTTAATCCTTACTACCCTGCCTTTGGGAAAAGAAGGGGTTTTTTAATGATCACATAAAACCTTGTGTGGTTTGAAAGCCCCAAACTCTGGACAAACGTGCAAGGGTCGTATAACAAAAGAACCATAGTACAGAGCTCCCCTCTTTAAGTGTTTTACATGTGGTTTTCTTTAAGGATAGCATCTCCAATGGAGAGTTTTGCCGATTAACACAATTGATTTTCCGAGCCCTAGTATTCCTGTAAGGGTTGGAGCCAAGAGCTGTCACCTAGGATCTGGGTAGTACAGCCAACTAGTGACTGATGTTTGGGGGGGCATTCTGGAGGAAAGGAGGAGGGAGGCGGGGGTCATGAGGGCCAAGGGCACCCACAGTTGGGTGGTATAGACAGATACGGAAATGCGGTTTGCAATCGGGAGCGGTGAGCATCTGCCTGGGAGGTGTGCTAGGGGTTGTGGGGGTGCAAAGCCAGGACCCTTTCAACAAGCCCTTGTTGAGAGCTCCTGTGAGGCTAGCTTTGTGCTGTGGATGGCCCCACTTTGAGCAGTCAGGAGATCTGCTGGTGTTGAAGGGGTGATGTAAGGAGAGTCCTGAAAGAGAAAATGAATGGCACCTTCTTTCTTTCAGGGGAAACACACACGCAGGCAAAGGGCCACTGGTATTTGTGGCATTTGGTTTCATTATCCAGTAATTGTTGGACAAAGATGATCCCAAATCTTATACAAGTCTTCCTTCTGAATTATGGTGACCAGATAAACTGAATATCTGGGGAATGTGTATAATACACGAAAACCAGTGAATCAAAGGCAACTCTTCTGATGTGTATGCGTGGATAGATTGGTGTAGAGAGCTACTTCTTCAAATGTAGAAGCTTTGGGGGAGGTTTTCCCAAACTATGTTGGGCTATTTGAGTGTTGATCACTCAGGACCGGGCATTTTGTCAGACGTTGGCCCTTTTGAAAGCGGCTCCTACACTTATTACAAAGTGTTTTTGATCCATTTTCGGGCAGGGTTTTGTTTGTAACACATTGTTGGCAGTTTGGGCAGAATCTTTTAAGTGGTGTGAAGTGCTGAGGAGTGTGCACCTGGGCCACCAGGAGGAAGGGGGTCTCCGGGTCTCCCTCCTCCTCTGTCCTTCTGGGATGAGCCAGAAGTGCCTGCATTTTTTTGTGACTTGGAAATTAAAGCAAGAGACGTGGGGATTTGGATGCTGAGATTGTGATTTGTCCTAGTTTGCCTCTACCTGGGAAACTACAAAGGAAAATCAAGTCAGGAAAACCAGCCACACCGGACGTTCTGTCTCAGCCTCCAAAAATATTAACTTGAAAAAGAAAAAGTGGTTGTATTCTCCCCCGAGGGGCACTTCTTCACTCCAGTCCCGGGTGCACTGAGACATTGAATTAAAATAGGATGAGGCAAAGTGGGAAGAAAGGTCACCACGTGAGCCACAGAACTGGTGGTAAGGATGGTGCGGTGGCTGTCTGTCTGATTGCTCAGTTGTCTGTATGTTTCTTAGCAGAGATAATCCACTTCCGTCTGGAGAGTCAGGAATGACAGAGTAAGGTCGGCGGAGTGGCCCTCCATCTGTCACGTTAGCAGCCCTCCTTGGTCCATGAGGCCTCTGGACAGGAACATAACAGAGCTCTCATTCCTGGTGGGGAGGAAGAGTCCTGGGCACCTGGCTGTGGCCACTCCCCAGGGAGGGGCCCTGCAAGGTGGGCTCTTCCTGATGCACGTGAAGGAAGCCAGCCCAAAGCCAGGACGTCGTTAGGAAGTGGGCTGCGTAACTTGAGAAGGCCACACAGCAATGAGAGTTAGAATATTTCCCCGGGGTTTACTGTGTCTCTGACTCGTAGAAGGAGTTGGAAAGTGAGAACAGCCCTTACTGAGACTCATGGAGGACATCCATGACTCTTGCCCTCAAGCTCTGCTGTGTCCTTCCTG